AGCCACCGACCGCCGCGTCAGCGCGGCTCGAGCATCCATCATACCCCCCTCCCCCCCCGGCCCCCGCTCCGGGCGTGTTTCTTCCTTCGGGCCTTGATGTGACCGCCGGAGGAGAAACCAGGCTTCGGGGCAAAACACTCAGTCTGGCCGGCGCGACAAACACACACACTATTTGCCCACCTCAAAAACAAGGTTAAAGTTCGATTAAGAAACAAAAGCCTGACGGCGCGAAGGGACGTCACTACGAGCCCAAGTTCCATCAGCACAATTTTATTAAAGTACTTTATTAATTCTTTTAGGATCTTTGCTACGTGAAGCTGCCAGTTCACGCTATATTGAGAGCGCAGGCGATCGTAGGAGGGCGTTTGCATGTCTATGAGGACGGTTGGTGGCAATTGTTTTAAGAATAGAAATCATTACAGTATCACAATTATTTTACTTATAATAAAATATTTAACTGGAAAATCGCCGGCTCGAATCTGGTTGGATAGTTACTATAGTTTCCAACCACCCTCTATTTGGAGAACAATATTGCAGTATAACGAATTTTAAATTGTTGTTTTGAAAAAAAAAATGATTTAGTGAGAATAAGACTACCTTTCTTGATGTTATTCTGCCTAAAACAAGAACATTCAAACGAATTCTGGAATTTTAAATTTCTTCATCTATGTATAAACTATGTCCATTTTTGAATCAAAATTATTTTTTTTAATACTTCGTCCAATTAATTAGTGATTCCGGGCCTGTCAACTGCTAAGGTCATTAGTCCTATTATAAATATTTCTTCACAAGCCAAAAATTAAATAAAGGGTCGCATGAAATTCCCGGCTGGCCGGTTGAGGTCCACTGCTAAAGAGGATTTCAAAGAACTTACATCAAAGAACTGAGTAATTTCTGTCAGGGTCTATCTGCATCTCTCGAAGTTTGATTGTTCGTGTAACCGTCCCTGTCTACCTGCAAGGTTGTTCCCATTACACGAAGGTAAGTTTTAAAGAATATGATTATTTGAAATATACTTCTTCATAGGATTGAGTACTAAGAAAATTAGTAAGCGTATTTTTGCATATAATTGCACTTGCAAAATTTTTACGACATAAAGAGTTGCGAAACAATTACAATTTTTACAAACGTGTGCTTCTTACTTTCATCACAACTTATATGGTAAGTTAATTAACATAATAGTAATTAGTAATTAACATTTTGCCTGAAAATGAAGCTTTGTAACTTGTCGTGGATTCACTCTTAGCAAAATTTCAAATGAAGAGGATTACGAAAACATAATTAAATTTGAATTAACGCCACGGAATTCCATCAATGAATATATAAAAAGGTGATGTTTTTCTTTTTGAATTATTTATGGGATACAAGCAAAAAAACGTTAGAACATAGGTTGAAATATTTTGTGGTCGGGAGTCAGTTTCTTTCTCTCTCTCTCTCTCTCTCTCTCTCTCTCTCTCTCTCTCTCTCTCTTTCTCTCTCACTCCCTCTCTCTCGGTCTCTCTCTCTGTCCATCTGTCCGTCTTCTTCATAGAATCACATTTGTGCAGATCACAAGCGCGTTCGTCGCGATGACACATTTTTTGCGTGGGTGGTCAGCCGTTTGCAACACGGTTGTCAACGGGCGAAGGGTCGACACACTTTTGTTATGAAATCGCTGTAGTATTATTGCGTTTTTTGAAATACTTTTGTAACCCGCATGCCAAAAATGTTCATATATTCAAAGTGAATATTTTTACAAATGAATATTTTAGCTACGAAATATTTAAATTATAACCCAGTCATGACATTCAAAATACAGTCTGCAGAAGATTATTATTTATGTAGTTGTTTAAAGCAATTGTTCACACTGGCAATTTGCTATAAAATAAAGGAGCATTCGAGGTGTTTTGTTAATTTTGGTAAGTCCTGGATGTCTGCATAGGTAATTAGTAATCATTTTCTTGCTTATTATTATGAAGAAAACAGCATTTACAGTAGATTTAATATATTGAATAGTTAGTACATTACACACTATTACTATTGAAGTATTCTAGTACGCAGCATGCGAGGTTTTCGTACTGGCCATTTTTAACGACAGTTTCATATATAATAACACCGAAGCCATGTCAAGCACCGATACTGGCGCCGCACCGTCCGCTGTGCCGCGGCAGCCGGGTTTAATTGCACGTCCGGAAGTGACATTTGCACCCAATGATCTCGAAGATTGTTTGGAAAAAATGCCTTTCTTCATGCAGTTCAACATGGAATATTGTTGTCTGGCAGCTTCTGGATACATGTACGTTTATGTGTATAAAGTATTGAATTCGTTCACTCTTACCGTAGTGAGCACAGCTGGATGAAGATTTTAGCTGGGAAATACGCGAGTGAGCTTCACAAAAAAGTTGAAACATGCACAGGAATGTTTAAAATATACACTGTTCTTTTAAAAAAAATGCAATATTGACATATATTTTTGCCACATACAGAAAAAAGAGTATGTGCAAATTAAAAGCAGATCGTGTAATTCTACACACTTATTTTGCATTAAGAACACATAATACAGTAACAATGGCATTAATTTGGTTTGTTAGTGTCTCCTATCCGACAATATCGACTTGAATTACGAAAATGACCTTTTCGCATCGTATGATGTGACATATCTGTATCATGTGAAGTATCATCACTCATTTGTTGTGAATTCGTCCTGTGAAAGGTAGGTACGAGTGCATATTAAATGTGAACATTGGAGAATCATCCTTGCAATATTATTATATTCCCGTTCTGTATTTATTTGAGTTCTCAGAAAGTTTTTCTTGGACATGTCTAACTGCCAGTCGTCCAAAAAGTAGTGTATACCCATGTTTAAGTATACACGTTACGTTATGCATTCAGAATTTTCACTTTGAAAACACATATTTTAGGCAAAAAAGAGAAAAATACACAAATAAATGCATTTTTTATGACATAAATATCTCAATAAGCAAAATAGATATTGTGTACAAAACTATTTCTATCGCAGATTCATTAATTTTCAGTGAAACAGAAATGTTAAGTTTTGTCAGATGTTTTGTTTTGCCATTAAAGTGAATGCGCGAACGTCCTAGGTTTAGTATTGATTTTAAAGATGTTGGATGTTATTCTGGGAACTGCGAAATTACTATGTCGCAAACCATTTTTCGAGAACATCAATCGTCTCACATATTTTTGATCAATGTGAATACAAAACCTCTTTCGTTTAAAACTTCATAATCACAGCACGATAAATAATACACCAACTAAAATAAATTTTTACATACATTTCTACGCCTCTTTCACACAAATATATTTATCATGCATGACTGCGAGTATTCCCAACGCGGTGTGAACAACCATGGCAATTAAATAACACGTAATTAAATAAAACATCATTAATCTTACAATGGTTTATCAAGTACTTGTTACCGTCCTTTAGATGAAGTACGATCTGTCTGACGTTGTCAATCAATCTGATGATGATTTCTTCTTTAACGCACTCACACAAACGTGATATCAAAAATTAATTTAAAATACTATCTCACACAAGAAATTTTATTGATTTAATACATTTGTTTTCAAATTATACACTCGGAAGCATTACCGCAGCAACATTGCACTAAGACACTGTTTGTAACTATACATGATCTCTCATCTTAAACATGAACTGCTCTCCCAGCACCTCCGTTTCATAGCGCACTGACCGTCGTTCTGTCCCCGTTCTCACGACCACAAACAGACAGGCGCTCTGTTTTCGAGAGTTCATTTGTTCAGTTTAAACTAACTCCTCGTTCAATATTTCTTAAACATGCGGCTACCCCGCATTAAGCACGTTTATTTTTGGTTCTAATGTATTATTTCACTATTTTTGGGTAACTCTTCTCTGAAACAATTTGTGATTGATTTCTGCGTGTTTTCAAACATTATGTAAATTTTGATAATTAAACATTGCTTTATTTTCTGAAGACTTTCTTCTGACGTCTTTTCTTCAATAAGTATTATTTTTCATTAAAAAACTAAACAAACAATTATTCATAAAAACATACAAAATAGGAGACTGAATTGAATGACAAAGTTTACCAACCCACAAACAGTTTAATACAAAAATAATATCTTCAAAAAGTTTTCATTAACAAAAAATAAATTACATATTGAATACAAAAGTAATATTACAACGTAATCAGAGAAATGAATAACCACACTTAACGGCCATAGTGTCGTAAGAATTTTAACGTCCGCAATCCATTTAGAACGATCAAAACTATTGTTTTTTTATACTCGGATTTAAACTTAGATTTAATTCAGTATCAACATGATGACGTTAATAAAGATTGTAACATTTTAGCAAAATAGACCAATGTTCATGCTGAGGTACCAGCAAAGTCCCAATGCAGAGAAAATATGCCGGCGTCTATATTTTGTGTAACGTGTCCTCAAATGAAATGAGCGTTTTTTTCCTTGAGAGAAACAAGTTGACTTGAAGCGAACTATCGCCACCCGCGAGTTGCTAGATTGCGCCGAGAAGCTGGTGGCGGCTCCAAGGGGGAGGCACCAAGCCAAGGGCAATGACCCTCCCTCCCCAAAGCCAACATATATTTTTGTGCTTTAACTCAATTCATTTAAAGCAGCCCGGCACAGCATTTTGCACTTTGTGTGATCTCGAGAACAACGCGCGAGCCACTCGAGTGCAGAGGCGGAGAAATTTGAAGGGTGGGGATGAGGTAAAGTCTAGGAGTGGGGACCACCAGTTAGAATGCGTAATTGGAACCATAGCGCGTAAATTGAAAGAGCAATCGACCAGAAAATGACGGTCACATAGGGTTCAAATAATATTGCCTTTTATATTATATTGAAAATGTTCCTTGTCGATATATGAAAAAGCGAATTATAAAATTACAACGAATTATACAGATTTGATTTGAACACCAAATATTATAATTCCTAATAGAGCTGATAATGTAATTCGCTTTGCTACAATTCAATTACAAATATAGTGTTTTGATAAACATAAAATGATAATGTATTGTTATTGTTTGAAGTCAGCCAGAAACTATTTTTTCATTAACTATATTTAATTGAATAAGACGGGTCTCTAAAATCTATTATTCTACAAAAATTGATGATTATTTTCTGCTCTGATTTCTGACAAGAGTGAATTATGGATCTCATAAATAATACCCGTAACAAATCATCAGTGGTTTGCTTGTTGATATCTTCAGATTCAAATGAAGGAAAATGGTCACAAATATATGTGCTGCTAAACATTATCCTTCTTGCAATTGCCTGGATAACATTTTTATGACAATTTTGATGTGTGAGATTGATCTCAATTTTCATTTGTTATTGTTTGAAAGTTATAACATAGAGCAATTGTACAATTAAACTGTAAATTTTTATCAGTTAGAATTAAATAATAAAGCTTTAAAATCACCACTGTACATCAACTAAAAAAATTACATGCAGTGGTGGATACGCAGTAGTGTACAGAAGAACTTAAACAGTGAATTATGGTCCTTGTAGTCCATTAAAATATGGGACATCACCTATTTAAATAAGTGGGCAAATGATTTCCCATCGGGCAGACGGTGGGCTCGTAGGCCAATAATGCCCGCGGGGGCAGGCGTTGTGCAGGCCTAATTTAAAGCAACTGCCATTGAGATCTATTTCAAACTAACAATTGAAAAGACTATGTTATTTCAAAAAAATATATTCAGGAGGTCCCAACTGAAATTGAGACATACAATTTACATTATTGGAAAAAATGCATAAATCTCCAAATGTTGAAGGGGTCCAACTGCCCCCTTTGTCTTCTCCTTGTTTCTCCATGAAGCCTGTCATGCTGTCTATTTATATGCCATTGATTAATTGCGATTGTGAGATAGACACACACACAGAAAGAGAGAGAGAGAGAGGCAGAGAGAGGGAAGAGTGAGAGAGAGAGAGCGAGAGCGAGACATCAAGTCCAATGATGAAGGGACAACTGGCATTGAAATTTCCGAGTCTGAATGTCAAGGCTGTTTTGGTTAAGCGGAGTCCCCGCCTCCATACAATTAAACAACGCGTTGGCAAGCGAGTGTCACATTTCCCACAATATAAATGGAAGCGGCATCCGCATTACTCAGTAGTTCTCTCGTAAACTTCACTATACCGCCGTGTGGGCGGTTATTCATATTGGGAGTTGCATCTAAAGTCAACGGGAACACAAAAAAATATATACCTCACGTTTTAAAAATCGTGATTAGTTTCGTGAATAGTGTGTAGAAAAAATTGCTTTTCGGAATATATTTTTCCTGAAAATGATTTATTTCGTCATTTATGTAAAACTAGTTTTTACGATAATTTCATTTCTTATTTTCTATTTTAACATCTCTTAATAGGCATTCGTTCGTATTATCGTATATCTGTGAATATTTGAAGTTTAATAATTGCTTCTTCCTACAATTACAGGGAAAAATGAAATATTATTTTCAATATATTACTTTTTTTAATATTGTTGAATCAATTAGCTAAAATTCATAGTTAATGTTTACAATATTATGTAATTAATATAAAACGATTTTCCCTTCTAAAAATAATTTAAATAAGGAAACTTTGATGTAAAGCCAGACTTATAATCAGAAATTGACCTAAATTATTCACTTACGTCACCTATTTATACATATTTTTATTGTTAAATAGCACATACTATTTCTCATGCACTATCTGTGACACTAGGATATTATTTCTAGATCAGCTTTAAATTTCGTGTTTCCGGGCGCAAGCAAAAGCTATGAGTATTAGTCCTGTAAGTATAGCGCATAGTTTTCTATCACGGGAGGCGGCAGTGTTCTCCTCTCTCACTGTATATTGAGATACGGCACCGACCAATGTATTGCGGGGTTTTCCCCATCCAGATATCTCCTACCAGCAGGGCACTGCTGCTAACGGGACAAGCTCTTGGCTCCAGGCAGTTCTCCCATGTGGTAGTGCAGTGAATGTATCGTAAGTGTACTATGCTGAAGGGAAAAGATGCCCCCTATCAGTTGTCCTTTTGTTTATGTACTACTCCAGGCAAAAATATCGCTTAGAGTTGCCGAACGATAGAATTCTCCTCCAGATGGCTGCTCAATTCCCCCTAGCTCTCTAGATAGTGAAGAGAATCCTGCCACGGTCGTAAATCGAATCCTAGGACCTCCCGATCAGAGGTCCTACAGAGACATTGAATGATGCCCATAGACACTTCAGGCGGTCTAGATAAGGCCTTGGAGGAAGAGTTGAACATTGCTCTGCTCTAAGGGAATTAGGGAAGGAAGTGCCATTTGCGGTTCTTGGCCCATTTGCTACAACGCTTCTCCGTAATTCCTGTGAATGCGATCAGGAAAACCCCGGAAACCACTTATCAGAGCATCCTACTCACGAACTCCATTCAGATGGCGCCACAATCTGATGGTAAACACATCTCACTAACTTTCTTCGTGAAAATCGAGTTCGTCCGTCTCAATCACCTGTGTGTCGAGCCGTAACGCTTTGCCTGAAATTCATAGCCGCCGGTGATTGTCTATTTAATCTATCTTAGTATACTAATGTCCAGTGCGCACGGATGTTGAATGAAAACTCGGCACTCTCCGGCCATATGTGAGGTGTCTCAGTTTTAATAGCAATAATTGAAAAACAATTAAACATTTTCGATTTTGAAGGAATAATTTAAATACTTTTTTACTAGAGTTTATCCAGTCGACAGCCGGTTACCCTTACGTTTCAATGGCACGCAAATTCAACCATACACTAGACACCAACACACCTGTGACAGCAGAACGTGAGGCCCTCCGCAACAACACATACACGGGAGACAATGGCCAAATAACCATGCTCAAGTCGGGGCTAGAACCCGTGACCCTTCGTCCCGATGCGCTGAATCTGTACATGCTCTTAACTACCTCGGCCATTCATGTTGTCTACATGCAAGTATTTCATTACTATTCGCCTATGTTCATTCTACGATTGCAAACTAAATTCTCATTCTCAGAGTGTCCCTGTTCACGAGTCACCTGACGTCATACTTCAGCAAGACCCCCTAAAACGAGGCCACCCACCCTTAAATAGTCCTTCTTCACATGTTGCTTTACGTCAGTGAACATTTTTGATTTTGTTGTCATGCGAAGAACTGCTGTTTTTTGTACTATACTCGATTATTGCAGTATTCATGAAGTCTATTTTTGTTTAAATATTTCGTTTCCTCTAGTGTTATCCGAGAGTTTTTTTATTTTTTTGTTGTTGAGGAGTGCGACTGCTACTTTTTTGGGAAATACTTTTCTGTGGCTTCGTTCAGTGGCATTTATGCTGATGTAGGTCACTAATTTATACCATTGGTATAAAGTGTAAAAAATCAACCCTCCTAACAACCCTTTTTAAAAAATAATACCTCTAAAAAGGTTTTTCGCAGATTTCTTATAAAATGCAAACAACACACCCCTACACTTAAGGATTAAACTCCCCAACCTGGAAACGGTCCTCTAGACTCATTCGCCTCCGAGCTCGGCACTCACACACACGCACACAATCACACACCATACACACACGCTCACAGGATCGAGAAGCAAATGCGAGCGCGTGCCAAAGCATCGTGGGGCGTGGTCGGTCGCAATCCTCGCAGTTCATATCGAGTATCGATTGCCACCGGGGATTTATGAAGCGTCGCCTTGGTGGAGGTCTCGCCCGATGGAGCCCCGAATTTATCGCCCAGCCCCTCCCTCGCCCGGTCGCCGTCGCCCATCGCCCATCGCCCGC